GGGGTCCCAGCAAAACACTAAGACTGTCTTAGAAAGCAGAAGCATTGGCAATCCAAGGTTGTAAATTAGAGGAATAGATTTGAAGGAACATCCCAGCTACTTAACCCCGAAAGCCCAAAGGGTGAGGTTATACAACTCCCTTTACTTGGCAATCCTTCCGACACCTCCCTTTCTTATAACCAACTGCAGTGTGTGTGCGTGCCCAGGTATCCCTTTCCTTTCTGTAGGCCCCAGTCAAGATTATTTTTCTATCAGATACACATGCAAGAATATGGGGAATCTACCAGATGCTAGGGATGGGCCTAGATGGGCCTAGCACTAGAGACTCCTACAGCGTTTGCCTTAGAGCTCATACCACTCGCATGTACACACACATTAAAGATGGGCCAGATTTGAAACCCTGGTTCCAAAACACCGCTGTGGAATCCGATCCTGGTTCAGCATCCAAGTTTTGCAATGGGCCAAACTACATGCTCAGATTCTCAAATCCCCCATCCTCTAGGTGTCCACAAAAGCAACTGCAATTTTGCGACGTGACCTCATTTCTATCTAAAATGTTAATTAATGCATCATACACTGAATTATGTATGATAGTTATTAATAGATAAATATATGGAGATACCTATCTCATAGAACTGGAAGGGACCTTGAAAGGTCAACCAAGTACTGTCCCTGACTGTCCCAGATCCCTAAATGGCCCCCCTCAAGGATTGAACTCATAACCCTGGATTTAGCAAGCCAGTGCTCAAACCACTGAGCTATCCCTCCCTCCATAAGGAACCATTCTTTGCACATCATTTTTATCAGGTGTCATCTGGCTATGTCCAATGTGGTCCATGGCTGGGGCTCCTAGGTGCTATGGTAATACAAATAAATAATAATAATAATAATATACCTGAGGCCTAATTCTTTTTTGCTTTGCACTTATGTGTCATTTACATTTATGCAAAGTGGGTGGTAGCATTTCACATCCTCTTTGTACAGGTGCAAATGGCTACACATTGGACCAGAAGTTGGTTCAATAAAAGATCTCACCTCACCCACCTTGTCTCTTTAATATCCTGGGACCAACATGGCTACAACCGCACTGCAAACAACACTGTTTAGAGGCAGTTACAGTTGAGGCTTTTTTTGTGAGACCCATGTGCTTCAGGTCTGCTGCTACTTCTGTCCTTGGCTCTCACACCACTTTGCTGCTGCCCCTCAATCTAGACCTGCAGCGCTCCGACATTCCAGTTCTGGGCCTCTAAACAGCTCTCCTGATATCCCTCAAATCCGATCTGCAGCCCCCGCACCATCCCAGTCATTGCATTCATTTGGGTAGACACTAGCAACCCTGCCATATTCGTGTGATAAGCTCTAAATTATCCTGTAGAGATTGCGCTGAGACTACAAAACTCATGTGGTTTGTGAGCCACACCAGGATAAAATACAGACGTGAATAGCTAGCATATTAACCTACTGAACCCAATAAAAAAGCACAGAACATGAACAGATATTGGGGGAAGGACAGGAATAGACTCCATTTTTTCTTCTTGAGCCTTACACCATACCTGGGGTATCAGGTGGACGGTCATAGATTCCACTGACATCAGTCAAGAAAACCACTCGCTGGGGGGAGAATTCCCTGGACAGAACCTGCAAAATGAAAACTGTGCAACAGAGGATCTAAAGCAACAGGTTCCCTGGAATCTCAGTAACAGTTCCAAGGCCAGTCTCTTCTGGGTGTTCTTCCCATTGCTTCTTCTTCCATGTATATATACAGCCACATAACTCAGAATCCTCTCCCCAGCTTCTGGCCTCCTTCCTATGACCCTATTGCACAGTAAGGGATCAAGACTAAATCCTGCCCCTGAACATGTGGGTGGACAGAATGGACCCAACTGTGGTCACAACTGGGTTAGGTCACAAGTGCCTTTAGTCCTAGTCCCAACTGTAAATTTCCGAATAAGCCCATATTGGAGCTTTTGTGCTGGTTGGGCCTGTACCCAATACACAGGCGGGGAAGCCATTAAACATCAAGTTGGGGATCCAGTCACCTGTATGGAATCCACAGTCAGAGTGCATGAATAAGATGACATTCCCAGGAGATTCCTATATGGACTCTCAGGGGATCGGCTCTTTCAGAGATTCTCCGCACCAGTCAGAGGCATGTCTATGAGCAGAGGAGAAAGGGGTGGTATCACCAGCATTCAGCCCTACTGGTAGAGAGGGCACCCTCCAAAGACAAAGCCCAACAGTAACTATCCGTGGATGACAGTGAGAGATTCCACCACTTCCACTCCCGCACCTGGGGAAGGCCAGACGTCTTACCTCAATGATAGCATCCCCTGATAAGATACAGCAGTGCTGTTCAGAGTCCAGAGCACAGTCCCCATGCACGACCGGGATGTAGCCAGCATCCAAGGCGTCCCTTATGGCAGAAATGCCAGCCTGGCTGACTTTCTTGCCTGCTGTCCTCCAGGTGCCAAAGGGCTGCAAGACAGACACCATGTTGGCCAATGGCTTATGTTGATCCCTGTCATGATCTAACAGCATCCCCCAGCTGGGTGCTTCTCCCCTCCCCCTCGCCCCAGTCAGAAACCTTGCAGGCATTCAAGCATGCAGAATCCACAGCTTCATTCTAAGGCCATGTTACACCTGTTAACCTCTGGATTCCCTGTGTTGTGTCTGACAACTAGGTGGCCAGACACTACAGAAGAATTAACCAGTTCTCAGAGTCTTCTATCCGGTGGCCAGACTCACAGTGTAAGTATGTCCTTCATGCTGCCCCTCCTGGGATTCAAATCAGGATCCTTACAGTTCACAGCCAGCAGCTCTACCAGCCTCTAGAGAGCAGAGAAGACAAATATGGGATGCCCCTTACCGAAATGCCCACCGCTGGGACGCCGCACTTTACCAGCTGCTCCGTCACCAGGTGGTTCAGCTGCGGGACCAAACAAGCAACATTCCCATCAGAACAGCTTTTCTGTCTATGTGCCACCCCACACCATCTGCAGCATCAGTTCAATAACCCAGGGAAGGACATGAGCCAAAGCAGCTCCCTGTGTTTATTAGAGCCGTCTAACCAGGGCGGTAAGAGTCCCTACGGCAACTTGTGGAGTCACCACCTCTCCGGCCATTTCACCTTCTGTTTAATGAGACTACTCAACAGACCAGAGGTATGTGACATACACTATTGGTTCTAAGCTGCCCCCATTGTTATGCACCCAGATGACCGGGCTGCTGGTTGAGTGCATTGGCTCCCTTTCCATTAGTTCTTCTGTGGAGGATTTGTGGTTTGAAGCACAAATGGACTAGTCTGTAAAATGGTTGTGGCGCCTTGATTAGTTTTGCACTGGTTTCTAGGGAGACTTTCTGGGTTAAATTTTAGTTACTTATTTACACAGAGCCAGATTTTCAATACTGGTCAGCAGCCAAGGTGCTGGGCTCTTTGGGCAAACGGGCCTATACAGACCCCTGATCTTGTGTTTATCATAGGCAGTGTACAGTGTGTAGAGAAGGGAATTGGGAGCCAGGACTCCTGCGTTCGGTTCCCAATTCTGCCACTCTCTTGCTGTGAGACCTTCAGTAAGCCGCTTATTCTTGCTGTGCCTTGGTTTCCTCATATATAAAATGGGGATAATAATACTGAGCTACTTCACAATGCAGGAGAGCAGCTGGAAGGCTGAATTAGTGAATGTTTGTAAAGTGCTTTCAGGTCCTTACTAGAAATTGGACCAAGGTATAAAGTTCTGAAAAGTTCAGGTGTGTTTAGATCTTGGAATTTTGGCTCAGGCCTGATTATCCCTACTGAAATAGAGGCAGGTCCTGCTCCTGGCTACACACTGGAGGGACAAAG